AGGAGGGGTTCTTCCTGCTTTAGGGTTCCCGCTCCAATTTAAAATAACCTTCCAGGAAAGGGGACGCCCGAGATGGGGAGCGGTAAAGGGAGTTGCCCCCCCGCCTTAAGTTCTCCCTTCTCCTTTGTAGGTGAGGTCCCCTCTTTCACGAAGAACGCCCCGTTATCAAAGGGGGCTGAGCTGGGGCGGGGCTCAGGCTTAGAACGGGGCTTCCCGGTTGAGGTTTGTCCCCTTCCCCATCGTTTTGCATCCACGTTACTCTCCTATGGTTACATCTTTTTGTCCTGTTTTACTTTCGGCTTAATTACCCTGGCGCGGGGCGAGGGGCGGGGGATGGGGTGGTGGGTAGTAGGTTTGGAGGGACCGGGAAAGAATTAGGGAAGTTTGAGGAACAAACTTGCGTCTAGGGCTGCTCACCTCTGCCACGTGTCGCCCGACTCTCGGGGTCAGGTTCGGGGTGCACCTGAGGATGCCCAGGACTCTGGTGCCAGCGTGCCACCCCGCCCCTGTAACGTGAGGCTCCTCTCTGTGGAGGACCTCCTCCTGTTTTCACTTGAGCAAGTTTTTCTCAGAACGTTCAGTGCTGAGCCTGGCTGGGTCCCCAGGGTCTGTCTGCTTTCTGTGGTTTAATCCCTGTGTCTCTGGCTTTAGCTTCTCTCTAATGCGATTTCCTCCTTTGTTCCAAGAGGGCACTTCTGCGTTAGGCCATCTTGATTATTCGTAAACAGGAGAGCAGACCTGGACATCGATAGTTTTTCCACTTTTGTTTAGGCATGGGGAGAGGGAAACAGCCTTGGCTCGTAGGAGCTGGTGATTAGCCTCCAAAAATACCTTCTTGTCTGCTTTTGTGGCTGCATTTGGAGGGTTGAAAAAGTCATTCTGGAGAGCCTCATGGGAAGGCTTTATTTTTTTTCGGGGGGTAGGGGGCTATCATCTGGTAGAACAACTAAACACACCTTGGTATGCCTCCCATTTTTAGGCCAATGGCGTGGAAGGTTTACTGAAAGAGTGGAAACAGCTTTGCATTCAGGGTCTGGGAGTGGTTGGAGAGCTGGCCATTTGCAAAGTAGGACTCTGTTTAGCAGAGAGGAAAGCCTATGGGGTCCTTGCTCCCTGTGCCAGTTGTAACACCAGTAGGGTTTTTTTCCTGCAAGATTCCAGATGGGGATGTGGTCTAGGATTGCTGTCAATTCTGAAGTATTTTCTTGTTTCTTCTAAATTACAGAAGAGAAAAAACAGGCGGTCATAAATTAGATTCTGCTTCGGGATGTATTTGATTGATGGCTAATGAGGTTTTCCAAAGCCTAGTGTGTTTTGGGGTGTCCTCCGTTTATTTAGCTTAAGAAGCTGATCTGGGAACTCCAATTGGGTTTTTTTTCTCCTCACAAGGACTTTTTGCTATAGAAATTGCCAGATGATTTGCCTTCATGTCTGCCAGGTCCTCGGTCTTCCCTCAGTCTTTGGCCTTGCAGATTTCCCTCCCTCTGGGCACCTGGACTTACTGGATGCCCCAGTTTCTGCAGGTGCCCTGGAACCAGAATTTGAGAGTGGGCAGCTCTGGGGCATGAGAACTTCCAGATAGTGGGAGAAACCAAATGTAACAGAAAACAGATAGCTTTTCTGTTTTCTAGGGCTGTACGCTCCAAGGCCAGAAGAGACTGCCTCCCAGCTGTTACATAACTGTACGACCTTGGGCAAGCCACTTGGTGTCTCTGTGCCTCAGTTTCCTCATCTGTAAAATGAGGATAATAATCATACCTAGCTCATAGGGTTGTTGTGGGGATTAAAGAGTAAATGAGTTCATCTCTGTAAGTGGCTCGGCCTGTGCCCTGCACAGAGTTAAACAATGGTTATTATTATTCTTTGCAAAGATGAAGTTGTGTGTTTCCAGTTGATTGTCCTTCCTTGGGACCCATCTTTTATTCAGCTGGTGAGAATGAGATCTGACTACCCACTCATGTCTGGTTCCGACCCCTGATCAAGGTTGTATTTAGAAATCAAGATTACTAGCCCAGGTGACACTTTTTTTTATCTTTCTTTTTTCTTTCTCTTTCTTTCTTTTTCTGTCTTTCTTTCTTTCCTTCTTTCTTTCCTTCTTTCCTTCCTTCCGTCCTTCCGTCCTTCCTTCCTTCCGTCCTTCCTTCCGTCCTTCCTTCCTTCCTTCCTTCCTTCCTTCCTTCCTTATGTGTGTTTTGGGGTGTCCTCCGTTTATTTAGCTTAAGAAGCTGATCTGGGAACTCCAATTGGTTAACGAAATCCAGTAAGTTTCAGCTGTACACTTTAACAGTAAGATATATATATATATACACACACACATATATACTGTCTGTTCACCTCCCATAGTTAGAGTTGGGGTACTTGGCCTTTAGACCATGGTGGTGGATGAAAAATCTCTCCACTTGTGGACTCAACTTTTAGGAGCCGGTGTCTCCACCTGGATGTCTTCAGCTTACTGTGTCCCGAACAGAACTCGGGGCCCTCCACCCCAGTTCTCCCCATCTCAGGCAATGGCAGCCCCGTCTTCAGAAGCTCAGGTCAAAAGCCTGCACCATCCTCGATTCTCCCCTTCCCCTCTCATTCCACACTGGATCTGTCAGCAGATCCTGTTGCCTCTTGCTTCAAAGTGTTTTCAAATCTTCCTGCTTCTCACAGCCTCCCTGCTACCTCTCTGGCTGGAGCTGTCGGCTCCTGGATTTGGATGTTCCCTCCTCACTGCTCTCCCTGCTTCCTTTCTTGACCCCTGCAATCTAGTCTCAACCCAGCAGGAAGGGGGATCCTGTCCCCCTTCTGCTTAAAACCCTGCAGTGGATCCCCACTTCCCTTAGGGTAAAAGCCAAAGGGTTTAGGGGGCTCACCAGGCCTGGCAGCCTCTGGCCCAGTACCTCAGACTCTATGGCCTATTACTTCCTGTCTCACTCCACTCCAGCCTCACTGATGCCCAGGCTGCCCCAGGGCCTTTGCACTGTTTCCCCTGCCTAGAATGCTCCTTCGCCTTTAAATCCTTGTTCAGATGTCACCTCAGGCAGCCTTCCCCATCCCCTCTACCCCAATAGTCCCTGTTTCCCCCTGCTCCACCCCATAGCACCTACTGCCACCTAATACACCAAATATTTTACTTATTTATTTATTTTCACTCTCTGTGAACTCTCACCGGAAAGCCAGCTTCACAGGGGCAGGGATCTTTGCCTGTGTTTGTGTACGGCCGTAATCCCAGCACCTAGAACAGTGCCTGGAACATTGTAGGTGCTCAGTAAACATTTGTCAAATGAACGAATGAACGACACGAAGCCCTGGAAGGCTTTTGAGCTGGTTGAAGCCTCTCTCCTGGGATCCCTAAGGATGAAAGTCACTCAACCTGTCTCCAGTGGACACTCGGGTAGACTAAGCCTTCCAACTTCCACGTTTGACTGCTTGTATTTTATCTTGCAAGAGTCAGACTGAGCATCGTTCATCGCTCTTGTCCCAGGATCCAGAGCCTCGCTTCCAGTACAGTAGGCTCAACTCATATCTGAATTTGAGTGTCTCAGGTACAAGTTCTAAACTGGGGGGTCAAATCTAGCCCACCAGTGTGCTGGTTTGGCTTTGTTTTAATTATGAATTATTGTCATTGCTAATATTTACTGATTATAAGGTTTCATAGAAAATCTGAACTTCTGACTTCCCTTGAAAAAAGTCGGAAGATTCGATAACACAGGGGCCTGTCCTCATACCTGGCCGTGGTCAGCTGGGGGGTTCCAGTTTGCTGCAATCTCCACTCCTCATTGCAGCTTCAATTCTAAGGCCCTTGTCCGTTGCTTTTTTTCATTGTGCCTTTCACCTGGTCTGCTTCCCTCACGGATGGAACCTACCTGGCACCTGTAGGCATTTGAGTTGGCATCCATCCCCTGCTTTGAAGGCCAACCTGTAGGTAAAGTGGCTGGGGCCTCTCTGAATCGCTAGCTTGACGACGCAAAGATCCTGGCTCCAGCCCAGTCACGTGGACAGGAGTCGGGGTCGGGATGGGGGTGGGGGATAGTGGGTAAACTAATTATCGACGCCAGAGGAATTTGAAGCAAGCGTTTAACTTGTATGTCAGCTCCAGATTTCCATGGTGGGATAAGGTCTAGCTTTAATTATCAGACCTTAATGGCCAGTAAAACTCAAGCCCGTGAAAACTTGCCTGAACATTTTGCAGAACGAAAGAAAGTGCTAATAAAATGGGTGTGGACAATGACAAGGGCTTGGACATCCGGAGGCGAGTGCTTTCCCCAACCTGGCACAGAAACTGGGACCTGTACCAGGAGGTTGGAACCTGTACTTACGTGTTGGGGTTGCGGGGAGGGCTTTGAAGAAGACAGTTTGGGGGGCTGCGTGGTATATGTGGAGCGCGGTTCTCAGCCTTGGCACTCTTGACATTTTTGGGGCCCGATGATTCTCTGTGTGGGGCTGTCCTGTCCCCTGTGGGTGTTGAGCAGCATCCTTGGCCTCTACCCACTAGATGCCAGTAGTACCTCCCCTTGTTGTGACAACAAAGATATCTCCAGACAAAGGGAAAAAAAAGTCTCCAGATATTGTCAAAGGTCCCCTGGGCGGCCCTCATCCTTGCATTTCTTCCCTAAGAGCTCTTGGGTTGTTAGACTTCTCATGTAATCGACTTATTAGAGTTGACTTGGAGAAGCTTAATGAGATGGTAATGAGGTTCAACTCCAGTTAGCTAGCAGTTGTTCTCATGCTGTTCATCCCTTTTCACCTAGGGCTGTGTCTGTCTCCCCTAATTCATTCTGGTTGGGGAGGGGCGGGGGGTGTCAGTCCTGGGGAGAAAACCCCCATCTTGAGGGGTCAGCTTTGAAGTTGTGCTTCTTCATTTCAAACTGCCCCAGCATAGGTGGACAGTTATGAAGTCGAGATTCTCCTTGAGTGTCCCCTTGGTTTAATGGTGAATTGCATCTCCTGGAGGAGATGGCCAGGTTCTGGGAGGTGGGTCTCCATGACAGGGCAGGGCGGCTCTAGGCGAGTCTTGCGTCCCCTTAGGTAGGAGTTGTGGTTTTACGGGGCTTTCTCCTTCCCCATATTTGGGAATCTCAGTTTACCCTTCATTGGCCTCTCAGGTGACTTCTAGCTTGGGGATGTCCTCATCTTTGGAGATGTCTAAGTTGTCCCAGTTTGGAGAACTGAAATGCGGTCTTGTAAAACACTGGATTTTTTCTCTTTTTCTTCACATAGCCGTTTCTCTCTCTCATTCATTCGTTCTCGTATTATTAACTGAACATCTGTCGTGTGCTAGCACTGTTCCAGACACCGGGAATGCAATCGTGAAAGAGACACGGGGCCTGTGGTCTCATGAAGCTCACACTGGGGATGAGCCACATGATTTTGGATAGCGGTCAGTGTCACCAGGACATAAATCTGGCAACAACTGGGAGGGGGTACAAGCTGTGATAGAGGGATGTCCAGGGTAGGCCTTTTGGAGGAGGTGACATTTGACCTGTGACCCAAAAGGTGAAGCTGGCCTTGCAAGGACTGGGGGAAGGGAGTCCCAGATAGAGGGGCACAGCAAGTGCAAAGGTCTCGGGGTGCTTGGCATGGTCAGAGTACCACAGAGCTTAACTCAAGGGAACTGCAGAGCTTGTCTCATAAAAATCTTGCCTGGAGCATTCTACAAAAATGCGTAAAGCACTTATTAAATGCCTTGTAGTAATAAGAGTCTGAAAATTCCAAGGAGGAAGCTTACCCCAGCTTGGCAAGGAAATGGAGCAATATTTGTGTCCCGACAGAGGCATCGGCTTCTGATCCCCTTACGTTGGTATGAATCTCAGATTTTTAATATTGAATTAAGTTTATATATCTCTATTTTCATGAGTCTCATCAGTTTCAGAACCTTAACTGAAATGCTTCCAGGTCAGACCAAGTCGGGGTTCCCCTCCAAAGGTTTTTCTTGACCTATTAAAGTGGTGAGGGGCTTTCTTAAGTGATTAAGAGGACTTTCTACGCATAGATTGCTAGAAAACTCTTCTTTTAAAACCGGATGTTGAATCGACCTGGCCTATTGCATGAGGAAGATCACTTTTTTTGATTGTGCTATTTTAAAAAGATGAGTGGTTGGGTCCACGTTAGCTCAGGCGGTGACTTTGTCACGGCAGACCACTACAAAGGTGAATATTCTAGAAGGCTATAAAGGGAAAGAAAGAAGTTTCGGTACTTCCCCTCCCCTGTGCTCTGTTTCCAGAAGCAGCCATAGGTGATAGTTTCTTGGGTGTTCTAGAAAAATTTCAAATGCATGCAAATATGTGTGAATTGGGGGTTCGGGAGAAGGAGGGAGAGAGAGAGAGAAAGGGAGAGAAGGGAGGGAGGGAGGGAGGGAGAGAGGAGAGAGAGAGAGAGAGAGAGACCCTTTTCTCTCTCCAAATGGGTTTACATTCTAAAGAATGTTCTGTATCTCGCTTCTTCCACTTAAAAACCAATGTCGATTTCCTTTCCATGTTAAGTTCATGCAAATCAAAAGAAAAAGGAAATACTTCTTTACAGGCCACACATTCTTTCTTCTGTTATATGTCTGTGCCATATAGTCCAGCCCCCTCTTAGTTGCTGTTGGGGTCAGTTCCAGATTTTTGGCACGAGGAACAGTGCTGCCTGGAGCATCCCTGGGGCCTCACCTTTGCACATCTATGCAGATAGATGTAAATGACTCAGCAGGATAAATTCTCCCATG